TCTCCCCAGATGGCAGCCTGCGGCAAGTGCAGCCGGGCTGGTGGCCGAGTGCTGTGATGTGCCCAGTGTGGGCATTCAGGGCACTCCAAGCCAGGACTGCTTTGCAAGCGGGGCACCCCTGAGAACTGTCTGTCCGGGGTGGGTGTCGGGACCCTTTAAGCACAGCCCTCGGCTAGCCTGAGACAGCATCTCCACGCTCTAAGTCCTCCTCTGATGCCCACTGCTTCTGGCCATCCTTAAGCCCGGTTCAGGGTCCACTTAATGTGGACGCGCTAGTTTGAATTAGAAAAACGCTAATTCGAACTAGTTTTTAGTTCTAGATGCGTTAGTTCGAATTAGCTTAGTTCGAATTAACTAATTCGAACTAAGTTAGTTCAAAGTAGTGCTGTAGTGTAGACATACCCTTAGAAAGCCCCAATAACAACACATACTTCCCTCAAGAGTCCTGTATCTGCTTCTCCTTTACCTGGAGAACTCCCTCAAATGCGTTTTTGTATTTTTTTTTATATCTTTCCACTATGATACTAAGAGCTTGATTCAAAAGGCATTGGGGAAAAAATGGATCCTTTCTAATGACTTCACTGGGGTTTAGAGCAAGTTGTATGCCAGCGCTAGTGTGTGCTGTGATCCAGCCCGTACACTTGCCCTTCAGTACTGTATGAGTATCACTCCATCACTATTTTGCTTCTGGTGAGGTAAACTCCATCATGACCCACTGCGCTCAGATCCTGAAGTCAGTTGCTTTCAACCTCAATACTCGACCCCACCACTGATATCAAGCTGGGAACTACGTGTCCTATAGAGTGCAGGGTTTTGTGCCTACCATTAAACATTTTCCTTATACTGTATCTTTGACTGGCCTGAATCTTACCAATGACACACTGGTTCTGTTGGGGAAATGGGATTCTTGATGTTAAAGAGACATTAATACAGTTTAATCTTGAGTATTAACACATGGCACTGAAGAGCATCCCCTGATATATTTATAACATGGGTTCAGCTGCACCTATTCAGGCTGGAATTCCATCAAAAGGTTCTAGTGATCCCATACAGCACATGAGCAAAGCGTGAGTGGTATACTCATGTCACCCGAATCCCCTAAATGGAAGGACATTTCTTTATCATCACAGGCACGTCTTACTGTGGAGTTGCTAAGGGGGGAGGAAAAAGACCCACCACTGCTCTTCCAATGCAAGGTTCTCACCCCCAAACTTGATTAAGATGATGGTTCCCTTCCTGATCATCATCTCGTCATGGTTTGATCTGCCCCCAGAAGCGCCAGATAAACAATCTGGGTAATGAATGATTCTTCACGTGCCCTACATAAGCAAAGGGCAGACCCTGGTGCACTACACAGAACAGGTGTAACAGTTCTCAGAAGTGATGCTCCCCAGAGCCAAGGCAGAGAGAGCATTTGGCTTATAGACATTTATTAATTTAAATAAGGGTGATTAAATTCTCCTTTAGAAAGGATCTTGAATAAATGTTCACCTTCCGCAAACATGCCAGGAGAAGTGCACTCCCCTTTTATTGGACTCTGAGAGTATGTCTACACACAATTTTTATTTCGGGAGAAGGCTGCAAATAGCACTGCACATTTGCATACTTCCTCCATTTTTTTCCCCGGAAGACACTCTTCCAGTATTTACCTGCATCTACACACAGCTGAATTTCAAAATAAACCCCTATTTTGAAAGACCCCTTATTCCTCCTCCAATGAGGTTTATAGGGGTCTTTCAAAATAGAGGTTTATTTCAAAATTTGGCTGCATGTAGATGCAGGTAAATACCAGACGAGTGTCTTCCGAAAAAAAGGAGGAAGTATGCAAATGCATGGTGCAAATTTGCATCCTTCTGCCGAAAAAAGGAGGAAATATGCAAATGTATGGTGCAAATTTGCATCCTTCTGCCGAAATAAAAATTGTGTGTAGAGACATACTCTGAGTGTGCGTTCTGTTTTCCGCAGGGGCAAATTTGCATTCTAAAACACCGCTGGGAAGGACAGCTCTTCACGCAGCCACCGTCATGGGCCGATGTGACTGCATTGACCTGCTCCTCAGCTGGGGGGCACTACCCTTTGCCCCAGACAACGAGGGACAGACAGCGATGAGCCTAGCTCGCCTCTGGGGCCAGAAGCAGAGCGAACGCAGACTGTTCCATTTCCAGTGGCAGCAGAGATCAACGGGCACCGTGCCACCCTCCCCAAGTCAGAGCTTACATTAGAAGTTGGATTCCAGGACAAAGAGGTCTCAGTCACGTGCTGAAATACACGTGAGCTAATTAATTTAGTGCTGGCCAATTTCAGGGGAGAATCAGTAATTCTTCCGGAAAGCCATGCTTTAAATATTGGGGTAGGGGGGAGAGGGTGGGGAATCTGTCTGATTCATGTACTAAATTAACTCTTGCATTGGTGATACTGCAGCCTTGATGACTGAACGCTTGACAGCACAGCTACCAGATATACTCTTAATTTGTTGGCTATAGGGATCTGGAAAATTGTTACATAGCCATTTCAGCCATTTAATTAACAGTGCTTCCTAGTGAGAGCTCAGACCTGCCTGTGAACTCTCCTTGGAATGTGCTCATTGTTGAGGTCATTTTCTGAGGGTTGGCACTAGGTGGTGACAGTGTTGTCAAGTGGGTAGAGCAGGAGGGCTAGGAACTAGGAGTCCTAGGTTTTGAACCCCATTTTGCTGACTTGCTAGGTAATGTCTGGCAGGTCACGTAAGTCTTGCTTTATTCAGATGTGGGGGTTCTAGTCCCATGACTGTGTGTAAATCAGGTGCACAGGCAAGTGACTAATTATAGTCACTGGCGGGTGCAATAAGGATAATTGTGCATGGAAATTAGACAGGCCATTGGATCCCCAGCTTTTTAAACAATTAGACCTGGAGGAGGGTGCAGCACTTAAGGGAATGACACACCCAGCTCCCATGGACTTTCAAGAGGCATTGAGCACCTAATGTGGACACATTAAAAATCCCACTTTAATTTTTGCAGTCCCATTTTCAAGAACCCACCACCAGATCTTCCAAGAGCTCTGCTCTCATTTAGGTACCTAAACAAGGGGCAGATTTTCTAAAGTCCTCACCCCCTAGCAGCTCCTATTGGAAATCTGCCCTTCAGGTTTACTAAATGCCTCCAGACCTAGCAGCTAATGATTAGGCAACAGATGTAGTTTTCAATCCGAGCTGAGCACTCCTGAAAACCTGCCCCATAACCTGTTTGCTTCGTGGGCTCTATGCATACCCAGCACCCTTTGTAAATGGCAACAAAGCAATTCATTCATTGGTCCTTGTGTCCACCCAAAGTTATCTTAATTTGCTCAAGAGATGGCGCGAGCACAACCAATTGAAATAGCTCGTGGGTGGACTTCAGAAGGTGGAGGAGTTTTTATGAAGAGGTAAAATGAGCACAGCCCAAATGTGATGGACAACAGAGGATTGTCCTGGATCATGTCAATAGGTGGCTCAGCAGCATCTCTGAGATACTGGAATGTGAATTGACTTCAGAGTTTGTAACCAGTTCTGCTATGGATTTTACTCCATGTCCTTACCAAGTTATTTGGGGGGAAATTCATGAAGAAACTGGGCTATTGTGACTCAAAGCATCATGGGTCCCAGGTCAATCACAGTGCAGGACAATGTAGCACTTTAAAGACTAACAAGATGGTTTATTAGATGATGAGCTTTCGTGGGCCAGACCCACTTCCTCAGATCAAATAGTGGAAGAAAGTAGTCACAACCATATATACCAAAGGATACAATTAAAAAAAAGAACAAATATGAAAAGGACAAATCACATTGCAGAACAGGAGGCGGATGCAGGGTGGGGGGAGGAAGGAAGGTAAGTGTCTGTGAATTGATGATATTAGAGGTAGGGAGAGTGGGATGTTTGTGAGTTAATGGTATTAGAGGTGATAATTGGGGAAACCATCTTGGTAATGGGTGAGAGAGTTCAAATGTTTGTTGAGTCCTTTTTGGAAAGTGTCGAATTTTAACATGAATGACAGTTCAGAGGATCCCTTTCAAGTGCAGATGTAAAAGGTCTTTGTAGCAGAATGCAGGTGGCTAAGTCATTGAGAGAGTGTCCTTTCTGGTTAAAATGGCAAGAATGTTAAAATGTTTTCTCTTTGTGAGACCCATAGTCTCCTATAGACAACCACCTAACCTCAAGATGATTCTTACCAACCACCACAGGACATACCACACTAATACCAACCCTGGTACCTTCCCTTGCAACAAACCCCATTGCCAGCTTTGTCCACATATTCATTCTACTGATACCATTATTGGACCTAACCAAGTGAGTTATAAGATCAAGAACACATATTCCTGCGCATCCAGAAATATAATCTATGCTATCATGTGCCGAAAGTGTCCGTCTGCTATGTACATTGGACAAACATCTCAGACACTTCGCCAAAGGATTAATGCCCACAAAACAGATATCAGACAAGATCACAAAGAGAAAACAGTTTCTTGCCATTTTAACCAGAAAGGACACTCTCTCAACGACTTAACCACCTGCATTTTGCTTCAGCTACCCCAGACTAACACGGCTACATCTCTATCACAGGTCAATCACAGACACAGCACTCTGATCCACAAAGCTGCGTTAAATGCCTCTGCGCCCTGTGCCAGGAATAGGGAACCCTAAGCTACAGGGGCATTCCCTGCCGGTCCCAATGATTGTTCGCTATGGATAAATACTGAACTACCCTGCATCAGTGCCCCTGCTCCAGTCCCTCGGGGTATGTCTACACTTGCCCCCTAGTTCGAACTAGGGAGGCAATGAAGCATACCGAAGTTGCTAATGAAGCGCGGGATTACCTTGTGCAATGAGGAGTAACAGTTAATTTGAGGGCAGGGTTTTGGATTGGACTACCGTGTCTACACGTGGCGAGTTAATTCGGGCTACAGGCTTTTTAAAATGGCGACTGGCAGTGAATATGCTAATCAAGCGCAGGATATTTAAATCCCGCACTTCATTAGCAACTTTGGTATGCTTCATTTGCCTCCCTAGTTCGAATTAGGGGGCAAGTGTAGACATACCTTCGGTCATTATTTATCCACAGTGGAACGATGGAGGGAGCCCCACCTCAGAACATCACAGAGCTCAGTTTTTAGAGTAGCCTTCTAAGAGCTCAGTTGGACCTGAGTCTCCCACTGGCTAGGTGAGTGCCCTAACCCTTTGGCCATCCGTTTCAAGGTGGCTGGTGTTGGCCCCACTTCCTACTCTGGGTTTTGGGGCTTGTTGTCACAGGTGTGCTCAGAGTCAGCCTACTGGATCAGTCCTGCACGAAAGTTGGGAGACCAAAGGTCTGTCCCTGATTCAGGGATCGCTCTGGGGCTGAGTTATCTGGATGCATGAGGTGAGGCAGCCGTTGGCATGCTCAGAGGCAAGTGACTGGGAAATTGTTTTACCTTGCAAATGAAGGGCACCGAGGGTTTGTCTACACAGTGATAAAAAACACGCAACACCAAGCCTAAGCTGAGCAGGGTTGTGGGACTATAAAATACCAGTGTGGACATTTGGGCTGGAGGCTAGACTTGGAAACTCTTCCCCCCTTTGCGGGGCCTCTAGCCCAAACATTTACACTGCTACTTTATAGCCCCACAGCCCGAGCCCTGTGAGCCCGGGGCCAGCTGTGGGAGGTTTAGGTTGGACATTAGGAAAAACTTCATAACTGTAGGGTGGTTAAACACTGGAATATATTGCCTAGAGAGGTTGCAGAATCTCCATCTCTGGAGATACTTAAGAGTAGGTTGGATTGACATCTATCAGGGATGGTCTAGATGGTACTTTGTCCTTCCATGAGGGAAGGGGACTGGACTTGATGACCTCTCGAGGTCCCTTTCAGTTCTAGTTTTCTATGATTCTATGTGCTGTGCTGGGTCTTTTATACCAGCAAGACCATACCTCATGCATGTTTAGGTGCCTACAAGGTTTAGTGGGAGTTTTGTGGTTCACATAGATGCCCAAGTCTAGGAGGTTGGGGCCTAAGCTCTTATGTGGGCTCCTATCCTAGAGTCTGATTTCTCAAAGATACCGAACCTTGCTCACTTCACTGATACCAGTTCCCGTTGTGTGTGCCCATTGCCTCTCAACATCAGGCCCTTAACCTTTCTGTACCATATTCAGAAAGGTTAAGGGATACAAAAACAGGGATATTAATTCTTATCTACTTCCCAAAAAACCCTGTGAGGCTTAAATAATGGATGTTTAAAGCTGTGGGTAAAATGCAGCATGTGAGAATAAAGCAGCATTTCTATCCTGTGGACACAAGATGGCGATATGATCTCTTGCTCTTTCACGCCGGCATGTATCCACTTGCTCCTCTCTCACCCCGTCATTCCACCCCAGGGGTGACCACACTACCAGTTTACTGTAGGTGGACAAATGCATGGAGAAATGGAGCTTATTATACAGATGAGAGACGTGTTTCCAATTTCCAGTGGAGCTGAAAGCAACTGCATCAGCTCAATTATACTTTATAAACTCAAACGATTCCCCTGGCCCTTTGAACGTAAAATATGTTTAAACTTTCAGGAAAAACTTTCCAGGTTTTCCCCCCTCAATCTTATTAGTAAAAGTTCTACAACAGAATTTGTGCGGTATGGAATTAGGAAATCATTTTTGAAATTCACAGCAGAGGGCACTCTGGGATCAGACATAATGATACAATAGACCAATTCTTAGAAACGGGATTATTAGCAAAGCTTGTGTTGTGGGTGCAAAAAAATCCTTAGCAGTGTTACCTGTGAGCCGTGTGCTTATGTGGCCATTCAAGAGAGAGTCAAATGCCACCTAGCTGATTAGAAGAGGGCCGTTAGCTAGGTTTTTTGTTTCTACTGTGGGTGGTACACATTCGCAGGGGGCTGCTCCAGCCTGGCCAGAGCAGCCACTGCCAGGGGAGCCCTCCAGCCCAGTGGTGGATGGCAGGACTGCTCCATTCGGCTTGAGTGCCTTCTGCCCTTTAATTGGTAAACCAGTTAAACATTAACCAGTTAACCAATTAAATGGGATTTTAAATCCCTAGTTACAAAAAAGTTTATTCTGCACACGGATTGAAAAAATCCACATATGGATGGAAAAGATTAGAAGGAACATTGAGCCTTAGTATTACATTTGAAATACCAGAGAAGACGTTGATGTTTAAGGAAGCAGACACAATGTTGGTGTAATCTTGTTTGCCATTCATGCTGGGGGAAACCAGTGCTCTTTTTCTTTCCTTCCTTTATGATTCCTGTATATCTTTATTGTTCCTG